GAATTCATGGGATACCCTTTTTCCTTAGAGGAAGAAAAAGAAGGTGTGGTGCAAAAAATTGTAGAGCTGTGCAGTTTTGAGTTTATGAGCAATTTAGAGGTAAACAAGAGTGGAATGTTATTTCCAATTCGAAACTATCAGGTTCGAAACAAAGACATTTCCCGGAGGGGAAGGTTGGGGACTGGAGGAATCATTTGACACCTGAGATGGCAGAACACCTTGACAAGATAATTGAGCAAAAACTAAGTGCTTTTGGCTTTGGAAGAGAATGGTTGAATGTTAAACCAGCTGTAGAAGAGCAGCAAGTTTGAATTAGGGTAGTGTATATTGTTTTGCATGGTATCTGAACCCTTCTGTGCTTTTCTATAATTTGTAACTTTTTTTTTTTTAGTTTAACATTTGATTATGAAAGAAACAATATTTTATCAATCCACAAACAATTTCTCACATTTCATAAATTTCTTCCCATTTGTCTCAAAATTACATTTTCCTATACTCATCATTGCATAGATATCCAATCGATCTTGTCAATTAGGCCGTTTCTACTGCTTTGTCTTCACTTCTCTGCTCCTCCTTGGATCCTCCATTTTTGGCCAAAAAATGTCTGGCAAAGGCATTGAAATAAATCAAATTCAAAACTTCTATACCAGCCTGGAGGTAATAGAAGTACTCCAGCCTATCCTTATTGAGATCGTGACCTCCCAACCACGGCCCTTTCCCACTCTTCTTAGTTGTTGTATAAACAATGTTCACAAGAAGAGAGTTCAAGTAGCTTGACACTGATAAGCTCAGAAAGAAGATTGCGCCGGCAACAGTCCTCATGCTCTCTGGTAATTGCGTCGTAAGAAGTTCCATCAAAGCAACTGCAGCAAACGCTTCGATCAAACCTGTTAATACATTAACAAGAGTTTAGTTGACTTAGTATTTACTAATAATTACTATAATTAAGGTTGGGAGTTTAAACCTGATAAAGCAAATTGCGGCAAGAAGAACAAGACACTTAAAGGTGACTCAAATGTTCCGCTTTTTAAAGCTGCCCCACGACGTTTTGTTTCAACAGTTGCAGCTACTAACGCACACACAATTGCTATCACAATGCCGATATTCAACCTATGTGTCATTGTCAATCTTTTAGTCTTTCCTGTAAGTTTTCTAGCTTGAGGTACCCAAATTTGCTCGTAAATGAAGATCCATATTGCAAGAGCAATCATCGACGAAAGTCCCATCCAAGCTGGAGGTACCTGAAAGTGGGATCCAAGCTTTTTGTTTGATTGGATTACTTGCATTATCCCAATAGAGTTTTGTTGGTCCATGGCTATGAAACAACCAATTCCTGTTATCCAAATGGGCAACATTCCTAGTAACATCTTCAAATGTTCCACTTGTCGCACACTGGTTAACTTCCATCCATTTTTAGGCAAACCCTGCTCATCCACCTCACTTTCATCGACCACCATAGCAGCCTTGTCAAGACATCTAAACCTCTCTGAGTGAGGAATTTTCACCTCATTTTCGAGCGGGGGAGGGTCGTGGAGCGTGTGCTCTGAGGCACGTAAACCTCGTTTCCGAAACGCTGCAACAATCACCTTAGCCATATCAACAAAAACACTTCCTTGGGGCTTTGCAAGTATGTAGGTATGGTGACCAATTATGAAAATGGCAATGGAGAAGAAAAGGCACATGGTAGGGATGAAGAAACCAAGAGCCCAACTAACATTGGTCTGGATGTATACAACACCAGTGAGAGCAACTACGAGAGCCAAAGTGAATGAAAAGTACCACCAATTGAAAAAACTCTCTAATTGTCTTCTCCCCTTTTTAGTTGTGGTGTCAAATTGGTCTGCCCCAAAGGCAATGTTGCAGGGTCTAATGCCACCAGCTCCAATTGCCAGTAACCCTAAGCCAATAAAAAGGACGCCCAATTGCCATTCCTTAGGACCTATGCAATTTCCTTTGTCAATGCAAGTTGGAGGTCTTAATGCCGATATAGCAGCAGTAAAAGCAATAATTCCCATACCCTAAAACCGAAGGATCAAGAAACTCCAATTAAACCATCTACATAATATAAACACACACATTTATATTGCAGGCACATAATGATAATGTTACACACACACACATATATATATATATAGGATTAGTATTTACCGCCTTACCTCCTAAATATTAAGAGGAAACTTATTTTAAAATTACGTAATTTTAATAAAGTACTACAGAGAATGACAAAAAACACTACGTAGTTTTGGAATGATTTTCTTCCTAATCTTAAAGCGAATAAGCACTATTCCTATACATATATATAATGTGTTAATGACAATATAATTATTCAAGGCTACACAACAATGATCATTAAATTAAGGTGGATTTCCACCATATGATGGTCAAATTTTTGCAGTCTGATCTAATTGATACTCTAAAATCATGAACTCTAAATAAAATTACCGAGAATGATGAGATTGAACCGAAGAGAAGAGTACGAAATCTGCCCAGAAAAGTGTCAGAAAACAAAGCGCCAATAATGGGTGTAACATTGCAGGATCCAGACCACACACTGACAACACTAATCAAAAGAATACCATCCAGGTTGTAATGAGTTTGTAGATAAACAGTCAAGTTTGCGATCAAACTCATTGAGGCTAATTTCTCAAAAGTTTCATTTGCTGCAAAAAAGGGCAAAAAATGAGAAAAAATAAAAAAGATCAATTCATTTGATCTTGGATTATCAAAATTTAGGGAAATACATTACCGAGAATGTATTTGATGGCTCTCCATCCTCCTTTCTCTTTTTTGGATTGTCTTTGCTCTGTTGAAGAATTGTTTGTAATCTCCATTTTTTCAGCTCCGTCGTCCTACTTTCTCCACCGGATAGACGTTTTGATCGGAAATAAAATTTCTTCCTCACTTTATTGACGATCAAACTTCTATTACTTGGGGAAATTACGAGGAGGTAATTCCTCGTAATCCCCAAGTCCGGTGTGGATGGCTTGAGTATGATTGGAAATGAGTTCATCTTATAAATAATTTAATTTCTCAAAAGGTCTTGGTTTTGGTTGTGACACGAAAGAATCTTCTATTTATGGAATTTAAACAAAAAATTTGTTGCAACTTAGATAACTATCTATATCCTCCCGGTTTTCTCTTGGCAATGAGGTTTTGTTGATCCCCATTTTTCTCACCGCCATAAAGATGATCTAACCAACTAGAAATTACCCTCCTCACATTTCC